TCAGACAAAAATCACATTTATTTCAATAGCTCAAAGTGCAAATACAGCAAGTCAGTTCACAGAGTTTCAAGATATAGCTTTAGGTAAATGAAAACCTGATACATAAAAATGAAAGGGTAAATAGTAGAAATAAAGCTCCTTAATTTTTTAAAAAATTCAAGTAACTTGAAAAACCTTTAGACTAAAATATTCCACTCATTAGTTAGGAAATGCTTTGTGCTAAATGCAATCACAAAGGACTTCGAAGGACAGAATCACCCAGCTGGTCAGCGCTGGACAAGGTGGAGGTTCCCGTTGTGGCTGTTCCTGACTCGGGAGCTCAGCCACTCACTGTACCAACTGATGTGGTTCAGTCCACGATATTTTGATCTTCAGGCAAATTCTTAGAAAGGTTTAAAGTTAAAGATAATGCCAACATCACTATTAAGACTTTTCTGAAATTACCAGTATATATCTAAAGATCCAAAGACCAATGTCAACTTCAGTATTACTGGGGAAAAATCACATAATACTTTTTCCATTACTTAAAACGTTTTTTGTAAGCTTAGCAACACAGCCTTTAAGACTTCTTCAGGAAAACGCTACTTAAATATATATTATTTCTACATATACAGATCTTGTATGTAAAGTAGAAAAAATTCCCACTAGGAAGATAATTAAAGGTTGTTAATAATCTTTTTATCGCTTAGTAGCCAAGACACACGCTTATTTCTGCTCCCCAGAAGCAACGTTAGCTACCAGTTTCACTTTAGGAAAATGTGTATCTTCAGGAAGGTTTATGTGAGACATTTATTCAGTCTTTTTCTCAAACTTCATCTTTTCATAATAGGCCTTAAACTGAGAATCTGTTCCGAAAAGTCTGTCCCACCAGGTAAACGTGGACGCGTAGTTCCCGATGAAGTTCATGTGGTGGAAATCGTGGTGCCGCGAGCCGGCGTAGAAGGGGATGAGGTTTAGGGGGTTGAGGGGAATGTCGTAGCCACTGTGGACATCAATAGTCTCCAGCAAACGAACGGTCACCCATGCCCAAAGAAGAATTACATGATCACACAAAAGCAAGATTCCGATGAAAAATCCAGCTCCAAGAATCAGAGTTTCCAAAGGATGTGCATATTCAGCTTCCATCCCAAATGGAGCCTAAAGCAATGGATAAAAATTCCTTAACATGCTGTCATGGTTAATTTCATGTGTCAGCTTGGCAGGGCCATGGTACCCAACCGTTTGGCCAGACGCCAGCCTAGACTTGCTGCGAAGGTATTTTTTCAATGTGGTTAACATTTCCATCAGGAGACTCTGAAGAGACTACCCTTCATAAGGACGGTGGGCTTCAACTAATCAGTTAAAGGCCTTATGGGTAAAGACTAAGGTTTCTTGAAGAAGGAATTCTCAAGACCACAACATGGAAACCCTACCTATGCTTCCAGAGCTTGCAGCTCTGAGGAATTTGGAGCCAAGACTGCAGCAACAGCTCTTACTTGGATTTCCAGCCTGCAGCTGGCCCTACGGATTTCAGACCTGACAGCCCCAACAAATGCACTAGCCAACTCCTCAAAATAAATCTGTGAATATTATTAATATATACTCCATTGATTCTGCTTCTCTCTGGAGAACCTGAATAATACATCTATTTATGCACATATTTTACAAAATTATATTGTGTCTATATGTAACGATAATATATCCAGCTATGTATACATATAAATAGTAGCAATTCTCAATAAAAATATCTTTTTGTTCCTACTAAACATCAAAAGGTCTGTGGACATAAAATCTTATTAACCGTCTTTGATGGTTTAAGATAAAAGCATTTAATAATTGTCTTGAACTCTAATTTTTATTTGTGCATTTACTTTGTTTTGTCAAGAAAAGGATGCTTGATTTAGCACACCATGTAGCAACGAGCGACGCGGAACATACCGACACGGCCATTTCACAAAGCTACATCAAAGCAGGTGTAATAAAAATCACTGTCTTTGTGGGAGTTAGCAATGTGATAAACATGTGTTAAAACTAAGTCAATAATTGTTGTAGAAGTTTCAATATTAAAGGTTCGTCACTTGGAGGTCTCACTGAAATGGCCCTAACATTACTCTGGCCGCTGTCAAACTGCAGGTGTCTAGTGTACAGCACTACGGCCACAAGGACGAGAGTCTCAACTATTTCACGTCCGTGCCGTATTTTTCCT